ACGACCAGTCGTGGATGTATCTGACTGCAATTACGACCAGTCGTGGATGTATCTGACTGCAATTACGACCAGTCGTGGATGTATCTGACTGCAATCACGACAAGAGCTCGGTCGAAAATGTCCTAGTGTGTGTATGGCCTGACTGCTGTGCTTGCGTCTGACTAATTAATCCCTTGTACGGTGCTCACTGCCCAGTCACCTAGTGTAGTTTTCTTCTTCTTCTTCTTTTTTTTTTTTTTTTTTTTTTTTTTTTTTTTTTTTTTTTGTAGAGTTGCCATCAAATAGATTTGCTAACGAGTAGCTTTGCTAACTTGGTATTGTTATTCACTCCTATTTAGGAAAGCTGTACCACAGAGGCTGCGTTCGTAGCCCATTCATAAGAGTGAGTCTGTATGGATTTGTATCATCTGTTTCTTTTTCTTTTCTCTTTTTCTTTTTTCTTTTTCTTCTTGTATCAACAGAGAAAACAGAATGCCATCCACGTGGCAGCAGTGCAGCGAGTGAATAGACGTTGGTACGTAGGGGACAGAAGGGGGAGGGGGAGGATGCGTGATCAGGAGAGGATTAGAGCGTAGGGATCTTTTCCGTCAGGATGGCTGATCCGGCCACAGAGGAAGCAGAAGGAGAGGGTGAATCATGCAAGGAGGGGGTGAATCCTGCAAGGAGGGGGTGCAGGGCAAGAACGTCCAGGCGGGGGTTAACATAAATGGGAGAAGCAGGAAAAGCAGTGACTTAGTAATTGTGAAATTAAAATCTTTTGTAAATCATTTTTTAACAAATGGTCCATAAGCACAAAGCAGGAAGTAGTTGGGAAGGGCACAGAGCCTGTATTATGGAAGCAAGAGAGGAACACAATGCCGACATCTGGTGGATGGAAATGTTTATCTTTGCATGATTCTCCTCTCGATGACTATGATGCTCCAAAACAGGATCCCAAAAGACAGACAACACTATGAGTGGCAGCAAATATGTGTATTTTAAGCTCTGTTCCCATTCCGGTTCCGGTTACCCTGTCAATGCCTCTTCTTGTGCCATTATTGACCCACGTGTAGCTTCTGCGGGCAGCTAATCTTGTTTTGGATGAGATACAGAGGGTGACTAGCTCCACCCACTCACCACGTGCAGAAAAAAAGAAAGAAGTTATGGCAGTGCATCTGTCGATGTTCCAGCGGGAGATTCGTTCTCATTTTCCACATTGGGTGAGTGGTGCAGTGAGAGACCCAACGATTGATGTGATGGGCCCTTGTATCCCTGGATTTTCATAGACGTAGCGAAGTTTTTTTGGTTAAAAAAATAATAATAATAAAAAAATAAATAAAGCCTGTTTCTCGATCTATTCGTGTCATCCCTTGCGCAGGGGCCATGCTAATCTTCTTTCTCTGTATCGTTCCAAATTTAACGGATGTCGCGAAGGACAGACAGAGGGAAGGGTTTTGCATCACCAGTTAGGCGGTTCTGATGTTTTTCACTGAGTCGACAGATTTTTTGGATGCGGAACATGCAGAGCCGTAATCTACTGCCAACCGTGTTTCTTCTGGACCTTGATGCCAAGTTGCTGCCTCTCTCATTCTGCACTCTGAGGAGAATGCAGAAAAATTGCAATTGCAATTCAAGGACTGGGCGACTGGGCGGTGGTTGATGGTGGCAAGGGTTGAGGGAAATCACTGCCAAACAGCAGATGTTTGGCGGTTTTATTGTTGGTGTCAACCAAAAGTGGGGTTTGCAAGCTTAGTGAGAACTCGTCTGTCCCGTCTTGCCCATCTTAGCAGTCAACTCCGTTCCGCTGTTAGCAAGATGACAGGACGGGACGGGGAGTGGTTGCATCTCAGATCCAGCTGCAGTTTGCGCCACTGCGCCTGACCGGGCAATGGGAGCGCTATCTGTCTCCTCCCCTTGCAGCGGCACCTTCTTGAGAGGGTGCAAGCTCCTCAGGATAACACAGAGGTTACCATTTCGCCTCATTTTGCCTCTGAAACCGAATTGACACGTGCGGGGCTTTAGAGATTCTTCTTTCTGCGCATGTCAGATGCTTGCGACTCGTCAAGCCAGCAGCTGGACCCCGAGCGACTCGTCAAGCCAGCAGCTGGACCCCGAGTGACTCGTCAAGCCAGGAGCTGGACCCCGAAAGAGCCAAGTTCTGACTGGTTACCCTTGCAGGGAGGGCGCCGTGGGTCTTGCGGCTCATGAGAGGAAGATACGGTGAGCCGCATTTTGTCACCGGCAGGGAGGGCGCCGTTGGCCTTGCGGCTCATGAGAGGAAGATACGGTGAGCTGCGTTTTGTCACCGGGCCGCGTGCTGCTGTCGGGGAGGGCTTGTGTGAGGAGGGCACAGGTGTTGGTACTTACCACCTGGAGGTATCTGTCTTCGGATTTACGCTGGGACTTCCTTGGCTAAAGGATAGGCTTCTTCCTCGGGTTGTGGGAGTCCTGTTGGGATTCCTTACAGGTGTTAATCATGCAGTTTCACCTCCACCTCTCACGGATGGGCCCACAACTGCGAACCAAGGTCCTTGGCCTGTTTCTTGCTGCCATAGCCATGGTGCTTCCATCTATTAGCCTGTGGGCTTGAAGGAGGCAAGGTTGGCCAAGAGAGCTAAGCAGGGCACAATAGCTGGTGGAACAGAAGCGTTTTCACTGTGGCATGTTTTGGGAGAAGAGTATAATTTCATTTCGATATCGAAGACCCTTGTCTTTATAAACTTCAGGAGGCTTACGACGTTTGATTCTGGCAGCAAATTGTGTGACCTTTTGTCGGTCGATTCCAGTACAAGAGGAAGGATAGGAAGGTGCATGGGCGAGCTATGCACTCCTCCGGAAGACAGATGTCAAGGGGTTCGTCATTTGGAGCCGGGGCGCTGCAGTCTGCAGACGTGGGTCGGTGTCTACAATCGCACGTCCAGCGCAGCAAAGCCAAAGCCAAAGCCGAAGCCAAGTCACTCCTGCGTCTGACTTCTTTGCCCAGCTTGGGCGCGTGGCATCTAAAGTGGCTGCCGCCACGTCATTAGGCGAACTTGACTTAGCAAGAGAGATCGAGGTTGGAGCCTGGTGTCTCTCAGCGGCAGGCAGGTCGGAACTCGTGAAGAGTGGGGCTTTAGACTGGGTCTTCTTGCCAGATGGGGGGTGTAATCCGTCCTTGTTTATTGTGTGCTGTGGCAGCAAGGTGAGCTTCACCAGCGGGAACCGACCGCTTCAAGGTCCAGAGTTGCTGCACCTGTTGGTTGCAGTTCTTAGTGATACGCCTGCGGAGGTTTCCGTACTCGGGACTGACTGTTCATCTCGCCATTGGTCGACAAGTTGGCACATAGTTTTGTTGGATTATGAAATGTGCCGTCTGTCTGGCGGGGCGGCTCATGTTGTCTGTGCATTAAACCCACCAGTGTTAGTTTCGTTGGATTATGAAATTTGCTGTCTGTCTGGCTGGGCGGGTCATGTTGTCTTTGCATTAAACCGCCAGTACTTCCTAAATTCGCGGCTGTAAACAAACCGCGACTTTCGGAACCCTGCAGGGCAGTACAGGAGCGCCCAAATTCAAAGTCGTCGGTGTAGAAAGTACTAGAAACCCTTCTTCCCTTTATTCTTTTCCGTGGCCGATAGTTGGGCCTAGTACTGGTGGGTTGTTTGTTAGTTTTGTGTGGATTATGAAACATCCGGTCTTGTCTGGCTAGGTGGGCCATGTTGTCTGTGCATTATTAATGTTCTCTTTTTTTTTTCCATTAATGGTTTTGGTTCTGGACTGCCTCCCATCCTGCTTAGTTAGGCAGTAACTGTTTGTTTTTTTTTTCCATGTTGTTTTGGCTTCAATGATTTTTTTTGGCTTCAAGCGTCAAAGACACTAGGTGACTACCAGTGTCTTGGCAATGGGCCACAGTTTACTCTGAGGGTGCATCTGCTGCAACTTGCAATCTGTGATACCATATGCCCCAGCATCCTGCGTCCCAAGAGAAAGAGAATGATCCGCGGATCCAGAAATTGAAAAAAAAAATAAAAAAATGCAAGTTTGGTGGAGGGATGGTTCTCGAAGCACAGAATGATTTGCGTTTATTTGAAATATTTCCCCTCTCTATATCTCCCTTCTCTCGTAGTTATGTTTTCGCACAAATGAATGTGTTTGTATGGCAGAGAGCAATCGGGGTCTGCAGTACTGCACCCATCCTCAACAAGAGACCCGTAGCGGACCGCTTGCCTAGATTCTTCCGTGCTGTCCCTTGATTTCTGTAATCTATGGGCCTAAATGAATACTCGGCGTGGGGGGAGAGGGAGGGGGGGGGGGGGAGAGGGGGGGGGGGGGGGGGGGACTCGGAGAGGGGAGGAGCTGGGCGTTATGCACATGTCACTCTGGCAAGCAAGGCAATATGAAACGACAGCCAGAATGTGAAATAGGCGCCTCTTTTTTTTTCCTGACCGTGGCATCCAGACTGCCCAAATGCGTCCACGTTGGATTCCAGTGGGATGTGACAAAAGGTGACAGTGAGCATGCTGCTCTTGCGTCGCCTTTCTTTTTTTTTTTTTTTTCCTATATCAAACATCCCATTGGTCAGGGCACAAAATCCAATAAGCAGCAGTCTTTCCCCCCCCCCCCCCCCCCCCCTCTTCGAAATTGAACTAATTTGTGCAAATTAGAGGCTGGGGACTCCAACATTATACCCAGAGAAAACCCTACTGGAAGCATCATCCAGCTGAGCTTACTGGCTCCTCAGCTGCAAACAAGGAGCAGCCAATCAAACTACCAAGTTCGTGCCAATTAAGAAAAAAAAAGAGAGGCTAAGCTAGCTCATACCAAATAGGCCAGGGGCTTCTTGTTTTTTTTAATCGATTTTAAAGGTTAACTCTTTTGAGCCCAACGAGTTCAATCGTCTGGGCGGAGGTCCCACTGGCAAAGAGGATAGGAACAAGTTTCAGAATCTGGAAGTGTTTTATGCAGAGATGTTGAAAAGCAGTTCGATATCGATTTCCTGCACCTCTCCACCAACACGTCCAGATTCAGGCATTCGATCCGATCCTCTTTGCTAGTGGGACCAACAAGCCCCTGTGGAATCTGACAGGATGGCCTTTCTGGCATTTTTACTATCATTATAGCATTATATGGGAAACCCCATACCAGCCACATCCGTGTTTATGCCCCCAAAAGAGTGGCGAAGGTAATGAGATGTCCTAATAAGAAAAGAGGAAATTTGCAAAATAGTAAAAATTTAAAGATACCCCTGAAAGTTGAGGTATATGCTAAAATAACACTATAACGATGTTGGCAGAGCCAAATACACCCCTCTAAAATTTCAAAAAGTTTGTCAAATGCCCTTTTGGATTTGAAACTTTGCGTTCTACCCTTACCAGAGTGGCCTGACACCACTCGCCCGGCGGGACCGGAAAAAAAAAAAAAAAGTATTATCATACTAGTATGTATATACTATATATACTTTTCTTTTCCATTTGGCAAAGAAGTACAATCCGGCCGTGGGGCCTCGCCCCACTAGTACCGTATTGTACCCCACCGCTGGGAGGTTTTCAATCATGCGTGGTACAGGCTGATGGCCAGACGCCACCGACGGTGGGGGGAATTGTGTGGGGTTTTCCAAGTTTGTAAAAGATTCATAAAAAGCGGAAAAGTTTTGCCTGTGCACTCCAGAAATTTTTGCATTTGCTCTTTATTTTTTTCGTCCCCTAAATCACTACCTTAGGAGTGTATAGGAGGGGGGCGGTCATTTTCCAGAGACGCCTACGGTAAATCATGAGCAAAACAAGGCTGACAGAAAACTGAATAAAATCTTAACACATCTTATAATGACATACAATGATAATAATAATAAACATAAGAGAGACAAGAATAATAGAAGAAAACGAAGTTGTGTGTACTGGCAAAAAACCGTAACGGCCCGACAGTGAAGATCTTCAGAAGACACTACCCATTGGCTGAGTGGATGATTCATCCAGAGAAATAGGTGACGGACGCGATGACTCCCAAGCCCCCATTGGACTGATTGGGGCAATCACAGCTGTATTTTGCTTTCTTTTGAAAATCGAGTTGCTTTTGGCTTTTTTGTTTTTCTTCACCGAAACAACTTCAATTCATTACAAAACTATCAATTCGACGCCGGGGACCGCAGACAATTCAACCCGGATTACTGACAGCGTCAGCCAGCTTAGCTTACAGGCGCTTTCGCCTACGAAAAAGTAGCTATTTGCTATTACTGTTTTTTTTTTTTTTTTTTTTTTTTATCCTTTTTTTTTTGTTGAAAAAACAGAACCTCACGGTTCTGGCTCCTACCATTCTGGGGTAGCTATTACTGATTTATTTCAGAACCTAAGGGATTTTTCGATACTTACTGACTTCGCAGACATGACGAAGAAATTCACACTCTCCTAAAGGGCCACAGCGGGCCTGACAGAAGCGAGTGTCCTGGTGATTGGGCTCCCACTAATCGGGAGTTTACCTACGATTACCTGCTTCTAAAACTGGCACTCGCTGAACCACTACCGCCAAGTTGGTCTCCGACCGTGTGCTGAGGTCTTCTGCTTAATCCTCTTCAGGGAAGTTCGAACACCTAATCAACCACATGGAGAGCACCAGCGCCTTCTCTGCGTGGACAGCAGCCAGCTGGTGGTTCCTTGCCCAGGTGTGCGAAAACCGCGGAATGTGTCTCTTGACTTCCCTTGCGTTCTTTTGCTTTTCGCTGCCAGTCAGTCTTGATGGCCTCTGCCTCACCCCCTGCTCGACGCACTTCTTGATCTTCAAGTCTGAGGGTGGGCGATTCTGAAACCTGGATGTGTTTCTATCAGACCGAATGGTTTCACAGATGATTCCGCTGACCACATGGGCTACGTAGCCCGATCCACGCCGTCCGTCCACGTTCGGAGGGAGGAAACCAAGGAGCACGCATTTCTCATCCCAGCCTAGCCCCTGACTCCCAAAGTCCTGGGACCACCACTTCCATATCTGCTTGGATGCAGGGTACGCCCACCACTGATGGAAGGTGGATTCAAAGGCCACCTGCGCCTCGTGCACCTCAAGCTTGCCCCCCTTCCCTTGCTCAGCAACCAGACTGCCAATGGGTCACCATCAGTGAAAGCAGCCAGAGTGTACTCACCTGCTTCCCGTCTGGGAGGGAGGCCAGAATCTTCCAAAGCTTTTCGAATTCTGGTGTCGTGTCGGACAGGTGTTTGCTCCAAACTGCTTGCCAACATGGGATGGCTATCTCAGCAGGCGGCTTCAGCATGGCTGTGGACAGCTGATAGCCGTGGGCCACCGAGTTGTCTGAGAGCTTCAGGGTGGGCACATTTTTGGATCTTGCTCTTCGGCCGCACACCACGAGATCGATGCAGAGTTTCCTGCCAATCCATGACAGGACGTGCACCGTAGGCCTACTGCTTTTGATTTCGATCGCACGTACATGTGTGGGGTTGTCCCTCAGTATGATGGTTTCCTCCTCTAAACTTATGAATGTGGTTTTTAGGGTGGCCGTAAGGTCATCTATTGTTGTCAAAGCGTGCCGACCAAACTTCACACTAGGGGCATATGGCTGACCTTCAACTGGCAACAGTAGAGGAGATAAAGCATGCCATAAAAGCTCGTTCATAGAGGCTCGCGTCAGCACTTCGTGTCCAACATGTCTTGCTGCCAGGGTTGTTGAGCCCTGGGCCCGGGGCCCCCGAGGGTCCAGGCCTCCGGAGATGGGCAGCCCTGGCCCCGGCTCCGGAGCCTCCCCAGAGAAATAGAAAAACAGAAAAAATAGTGGGGGGTGCGCAGCGAGAGCGCGCACCCCGTGGCCTAAGCCCCCCAAAATGGGGTTTTGTGCCCCACCTCGGACCCCCCCGGGGCCACACCCACCACTGGTGGGACTGGGGTGGCCTTGGCTGCAGGGCCACGGGCGAGGTGCAGGGGGGCGGGG